CTTATAAGGATTAAGAAGATGCGCATGAACCCGCCGAGTCCCACGAGTGCACTTGGAGAGTCTGGTCAAAGTTGGACCGTTGACTAAGTTGGCTTTCGTTGACTTTTAGGGTTTGGTTAAGAATTGGGATTTTGGGTCTTGGAGGGGTAAAATGGTGTTTTAACCTTTTGAGGAATTATAAGGGGGATTAATCTAGCCTTTGAGAGGCGTTGTTAATTAGATGAAAATTGTTTATGTGATTAGGCGGAGGATAGATCAGTATTCGAGATTCGAGATTATCCGAGTTATCCGAGGTGAGTCTTCTCACCAGACATTAACTAGAGTGGTATCTATGTGCAGACCGGAGGGTCTTATATGTATGTGTATGTTTGAGATTTATGTGCATTGTGTTATATGGATCCTATGTGTTATATAGACCGGACCAGAGGGTCCAACGACTCATGAGGCCAGAGGCTCCTCGATCAGACTGGACCGGAGGGTCCAACGATTTAGACAGGGGCCGGATGGCCCAACGATTTAGACCAGACCGGAGGGTCCAATGAGCTACGGGACTGGAGGGTCCCGCTGAGACACATTGACCGGAGGGGTCATACCGAGTTATAGCCTTAAGTGGCTTATGTGTTGTATGTGGTATTTTGGGGAACTTGCTAAGCTTTGTGCTTACCGTGTATGTGTTATGTGTTTTAGGTTTCTCAGGATCGCGGGACGGCACCGGCTTGATTGTACACACCAGAGAAAGAGTTATGAGGATCCTGGATTATTAATGGAGTAGTGTTTTGTAAATTGAATAAACAAGATTTTTATACAATATGTTATGAAAAGTATGCGATTTTTAAACGAAAACTTTGTTTGAAAATTTACGGTGTTACAACTTATACTTAGGTGTCCTCCTTATATAAAGATGGGTTATTCAAAGTAAGTGACTTTAGAAGGAAAACTGATTGCCATTTTGACGAAAATCAAAACATTCCCACAATTAAATGTAGCAAGGAAGTACCAATCATAGTCAACTGTTTCATATAGCATGCAATTAAAAACAAGAAAGCTTTGATGGTGGATCTTAGAGCTACATGTATTGAGATTTAAACTATTACTTGTGGCACATGTATCAATGAGGAAGAAGATGCTGATCATATTTTGGTAAAATGTCCGTTTGTCAAAGTGGTGAGAGATAAAATCTTCAATTGGTGTGGTATACAAAATCAATCATTCAATAACATTGATGAATTGCTTGGATTTGTTGCAAACTAGAGGAAAAGTCCAAAGATGATAGACCGGTTTTACTCCATATGTTATGGTATTTTTTGGAATCTATGGAAATATCGCAATGATCGGATGTTCAGAAAGGTGTTCGTTAAACCTTCTTATCGTGTAAAGTAATTCAAATCAAGACTATGTATGTGAGCTAAATGTAGGGGTAAAGGCGGAACCTATCCATGGGAAGAGTGGTCATCATCTCCTTTTTGTGTCTGATACTTTTTGTACTCTGTGCTTTGTTACTACGTTTATCCCCTCGATAATTACTTACTAGTCATGAGTATTTATTAATAAAATTAATAATATTTTTCGTTTATTAAAAAGAGAAGTTTAGAAAGGTGGGTCGAAATCTACTGTAACATCTGGATTTCCAGGTATCATATTTTTAATTGTTTAATTTGAGTTATGAGGAGGGACTCGACGAGTTGACGATTAGACTCGCCGAGTAGGATCGCGATTGTTGACTAGATTAATGAACGGACTCGACGAGTCAATGAGTGGACTTAACGAGTCCGCTCTGATGTCAGAAACCCTACATTTTCGGGCCTATTCCCTATTTAAGGGACCTTATGGCCCTCATTTGCGGCTACCAGTCCAGAGAGAGAAACCCTTGAGAGCTTGAGCGAGTTGTGAGAGAGATAGAGCTATTTTGATCATTTTCGGTGTGGTTTTGCAAAGAAGAAGTTGTTTCTAGCAAGAGGAGGCCAAGGTAGTTGCGGATTTGGGGTTCCCATGCTCAGATCTTCACTGTTGAGGTAGCAAATCGAACTCTCCTTCTGTTTTGGTTAAGATCTATGAATCTAGGGTTTTCTATACACTTTTTATGGCTTGAATTGATGAGTTTATGGTCCCTTTATGTGTTAGACTCCAGATCTAGATCTATAGAGGTCCAGAGAGCCTTATCCAACTTGCTTTATGAAGTGATATGGAAGGAATGAGTTTAGGTTGCCATTTTTGAGGCTATTTCTTCAAAAGGAACCATATATGTGTTGCATGAGTGTAAAGGTTTCACCTTTACGTGATTAATGGGTATGGAAAGCTCAGATCTATAGGTTAGAGAAGCAAATCTGACCTTAGAGTGTTGATTTAGTGATTGTTATGGAAGAAACTCACCGAGTCCATAAGGGGACTCGACGAGTTGAGTCGGGTTGCCCCGCGACTCGTGTCCGGATGTAGCCGTCAAGTGGACGGTTCACTCGACGAGTCGAGTGAGGTTTAGAAAGATCCATAGTATACGCTTGGACTTGCCGAGTCACCTCTGTGCACTCAAAGAGTCTGGTCAAAGTTTGACCGTTGACTTTCATTGACTTTTAGGGTTGGGTCAACATTTGGATGTTTGGACCATCAGAAGGGTAAAATGGTCTTTTAGCCTTTTGAGAGAACATTGGAACAAACTAGTCTAGCATGGAGAGCTGTTATTGATTTGAGATGATTGCTCATATATTTAGGCGGGGCTAGGTTATTGTTACGAGGTTCAGGGGTACAGAGCACGTGAGTTACTAGACAACATACGAGGTGAGTCTTCTCACTATACTTTACCTAGAGTGGTAACTATGTGCGACCGAAAGGTCTTATATGTTATGCGAAGTATGTGATATGTATGTGCTATGTTATGTTATGAGTACAATGATATGGACCGGAAGGTCATACGGGTAGGGTCGGAAGGTCTACCAGAGTTGGGACGGAAGTCCCCTGAGACACATGGATCAGAAGATCCCATAGAGTTATGACCATGAGTGGCGTATGTGTTGTATGTGGTATTTTGGGGAACTCACTAAGCATTTATGCTTACAGTGTTATGTGTTATGTGTTTCTGGTACTAGCGATGATCGTGAGAAGGCGCCGACATGATCTGTACACACTGACAGGAGATTTGTTTTATGATCTTGGGATATGTTTTTATCGTGATGACATTTGTTAAACTTGAGAATTTTGAATATTGAATGATATTTATGTTATATGAAAAATGAAAAATTGTTTTTAAAATTCACGTTGTTACATCTAGATTCTATTTTTGTTTTTATCGGTCGCACAATATTCGATAATATGTTTTTATATTTCGATATTAAAGATTAAAAAATGTAATAGAATATTAAACGAATAATTATGTAGTTAAAAAATAGTAAAGATTTGAAATTAAATACAATTAGAAAAAATAGTTTATTTAATATATTTAGCTTCCTTACTTGATAATACATTTATAAAATAAGGGCTGATTTATTATACAATTATCTTTGAGTTATTGTGCTAAATAAAAATAACAGGAGAACTTACGAACTAATGATCAACAGTTGAAAATCATGTGTCGGCACAGCGGCAGAGCGAGTAGGGGGCTAGTAGGTGTTGTGCCCCTAACTCCATAGGTATTAATGTATTACCAGTTAAAACCCACCATCAACTATATGCTCCTTCTCCTTCTGTATGCAAATTGTAATTAATGTTATTGGATATTAATGTTTTGTTATTAATTTCCCCATTACAATCTTCTTTTTATGATATAAAACTATAAACTCACGTAAAATATGGACATATATCTCATTCAAATGGTTTATATATATATATATATATATAGTCAAGATCAAATAAGAAGGAAATTTTGGGTAGGAAAGTAACAAGTTTTTTTTCTAATTTTTTTCGCGAACAAACAGAATGAATCATTAGATGATTCATTTGTAAGATGATTTACAAGAAAAAATTCTCAAAAAAACATCTCGATGATTCATTTATATAATGATTTTGTTATTATTCACTAAAATTGTCATAAAGTGATTTTTTTTTTCTTAATTTACTTAAAAATGAATCATAAATATGTTTTTTTGGGAATTTTTTGTTGTGAATCATCTTACAAATTTATCATCTAGTGATTCATTTTTTTTGTTCGTCAAAAAAATATGTAGAAAAAAAACTTTTTACCTTCCTATAAAAAAAAATTTCTTACCGGATATATATATATATATATATATATATATATATATATATATATAGAGAGAGAGAGAGAGAGAGAGTATGATGTGCGTCTAAGCCCCTACTAATCTAAAATTCTAGCTCCGTCCCTGCGTCGGTAGTCATATGGACTGTGGATTCAAATATGCATACATACACATATTATGAAACAACAATCATGCATCAACAATTATATGGATTGTGGAGTGTGGACATAGATATGCATGCATGCATCAGTAGTGCATATATATAAACATTTAAAAAAAATAGTCAAATCTTTTTTTTGAGCCTAAATATGGATTAGACGTTGCATTTAGTTAATATTTATCGTTTTGATTTTGAAAAATAATATTTTAATTAGTAGTTCTCAAGTTTGCATAATTTTTTTAGTTCTCAAAAGAACTTGTATCCATAACATTAATCCAAAAAGAGAAATTAAATTACCTCCTACATTTTATTCATACTATTTTTTGCCTACAAATATTCATACTCATTAAAATTATGATAAATATTATCATTCCACCATTCAAGTTAATTTTATTTAATATTTTCCTAATATATCCTTATTGAAATAGTTAAAAAAGAATATGAAATAATAATACTTGTCGTAATTTTAATGGGTAGAATATTTATAGGCATAGAAAATATGGAGACAATTTAATTAAACAAAAATTTACTAAAAACTCATTCATTTTACATGAAATTTGGCCGAAGATACCAAGAAAGATTGGCTGAATAGTCAAGAGGATCTAAAATCAAAACTTTTTAAGGGGTTTCTCCGGTGGGGATTAAAACTTGGGCCCTTTTAGAGAGCATCTAGAATGACCTTTCTATAATGTTCTTTAAAAGTCTGCGAGAAATCTGGGATCTTCTTTTCTTTTTTGCCATTGAAAAATCCGAACTCCTGATATTTTTCATCTTTCATGTTGATGGTATCTCATCTGCTACACAACACAAGAATTAAATCAGGGCCCACTCAATATATAAATATAAATATACAAACAAATATGTATATACATTGGAAACTTATATTAGTTTCATTTAATTTTAAATAAAGTATTCATATAAAGTATCCGATTGTGGATATTTTCCCCCAAACATGAGAATTTTCCCCCAACCGTAAGCTATTTCCCCCAAGTCAGAGATTTCACAAGAGAAAAAGTTAGGGCTCCAATAACGATCATCGAAAATTTCAACCAAAGAACAGCCTTTTGTGCAACAAAAAGTGTGCACTACTGAAAAATAAAGAATACAACATTTCTTAATGGAGACCTTGATGAGGGTTACCATCTATCGAGTATACACAGTTCAAAACACGAGGCATGAGTTGCAAGCCATTTTAGATGTTAGAATGATAATTTATGGTGGTAATAAGGAGTATATGGTAGCTAGATACTTTGATCTTGATTGTCTATTTGGACACGAGAAGGTCATTTACCGGGTACGTGTTCGCGCTTAGAATTGCGCTCATTGGTCAAGCTATATTTTTGAGTAAATGGATCTTAGGCTATGGGGAGTGGTCAACACAAATTCATCGAAAAAATGCTGTCACTTTTGCGCCATGCACGTCAACTTCACCACTAATCCAGTAATCAATGGAAATGGTTACCACTCTACAATATTTATTTTTTAATTTTTAATTTTTAACATTATATTAAATAAAAAACATAATTTATAACATAAATAATTTTTTTGAAAACATAAAAAAATAAAACCACATTTCATTAATTAAAAACATATAAATTTAAAACCTAAATTACTAAAATAAACATAAAACATACCAAATAAAACATTACACTACTTAAAAAACATAAAAAACCATTAAGAAATACTACTCGTTATCGTTGTCGTCACTGACCTCATCCACTTCGTCGCCACCGTCCTCATCCGTCTCGTCGTCACTGTCGTCATCCTCTTCGTCTTCATTGTCATTTTACCATGGGAATTGTCTTTCTCATATGTGCTGAGTCAAATCGTAATGTAGATTGTGATCTATTTCACAATTTTGTATTTCCAAAACCCTAGAGAAGTATGTCAGGCTGTCAAGTTGTATTACTTTAGGTGATTAAGTATATCATTCCGAATATATGAATAAATAGCCCTATCATCTTCTCCTATTGTCATATTATGTAAAATAACATAAGCAGTTAACATCATCGTCTGTTTTGCTCTATCCTATGTTTGTGCCGAATGTTTCATTATGTGCCACTTTTGTTTTAGGACTCCAAATGCTCGTTCCACATCCTTCATTGTAGATTTATGTGCTAACTTGAACAATTTTCGTTTTTCATCAACCAAAAATGAATATGACCTGACAATTGTAACATACTCTGGATATATCCTATCACCTAGGTAATACCCATACTCATATTCATTTTCATTCACAACGTATGACCTGTTTGATGCTTTACATTGCAAAATATTATTAAATAACGGTGACGCTTGGAGCACATTCAGGTCATTGTTTGAACTTGTCATACCAAAGAATGCATGCCAAAACCATAGGTCCTGTGAAACAACCGCCTCTAATATAACAGTCGGGAACCCATGATCACCTCACATGAATTGACCACGCCACGCATTAAGACAATTTACCCACTCCTAATGTATACAAGCAATACAACCAAGCATCCATGGAAAACCATGTTTAACTTGATACGCGACATACAACTATTCAACATCTCTTTTAATCGGATGTCGCAAGTATATGTCACGATAAAGCTCTATAACATACTTGCAGAAAATATATGTATAGTCTTGACCCGTCCTCTCAGGCATTTTTAAATACTCATATGATGCGTCTGCGACTATGTCATATCCCAATTGTCTAAGAGCTGTTATACATTTTTGTATTTTAATCAAACCACATTTACCTCTAGCATCCCATCTTAATTGAAAAAACTCATAATTACGTTCCAAATCTTTAGCTATATGTAATAATAAATTTCTACTAACACGAAAATGTTCTTCAAATTTTGATAGATCATATAAACTATCAGGGGTAAAATAATCACGTACCAAAAGTTTATTTGTCGCGTCTCGATCCCGGTTGATTTATTTTCGACACTTCTTCTTGCTGTATGAACTTTCGCCTCTCTCACAAACCATGTCTTATGTCGCAGACAAGGTTCAAAATGGCGTGAGGCGTGGCGTGGCGGCATGGTCAAACCTCAAGCTTAACGAGCCATGGCGAGCCATGACGTTTTTCAAGGCGTGATGTAAGGCGACGATTTTGTATTAATTTAAAATTATATTACCACATAAATATAAATTTATATTAAATATAGCTACTTATTATAAGTGTTAAATCAATAACTAGTAACAAAAAGTTAACGAAAACCACAATACCTGTATCTTCGATTAGAAAAGACATAACAAAGAGCAAAAAAACGTGTCTCAAACGAAAAAACACGCGCCATAACACGCCATAACGCGCCATGGCGCGCCATATCACGCCTTGCCACGTGCCACGCCTAACAGCAACGTTATGAGGCTTTTCGTAACGGCGGAGCCACGCCTCACTCCATGGCGCGCGCCATGGCGCGCCTTTTAAAACATTGGTCGCAGATAATAGTGTGTGCAATACCAACTCGTCATCAAAATCATCATCAGGTGAAGAAGAAATTGAATCAGAAAATTTTTCTATTTTTTTTAAGTGTGAATGTTTTGAAAGAATGTGTGTGTTTTGTTGTGAAAAAGTATATATATATATATATATATATATATATATATATATATATATATATATATATATATATATATATATATATATATATATATATATATATATATAACGTTAATACCCAATGGTTAAAATCGGACTTAACCAATCCATGCGTCCGTCTTCATTCGTCTCCTTACGCATGCAACAACCAGAGCACCAACTCTTGGGGTGGTGTTCACGCGTCTTAAGGGCTCCACCTCAACACTCATACATGCTTTTCCTTCCCGGTCCGGTTAGCCTTACAAAGGGGGCTAAAGAGGTGTTATGGTTGACTAGTCAATAAATATGCATATTTATTAATGAATGGTTCGATTTTTAATTTTTAAGGCTTAATTTTTTTGAATAAATAAATAATTATAATAAAGTTTATCATTTTCATTAGATTTGGAAAAGATATCATGTCTTGTCTTGTTCGTATCAAGCAATATTATAGTAACTACTGATAAATTATTCCACCTATGTCCACAGTGAGACTTGAACCATCGATCTCAAAAATATATGACAATACCGAATACTATTAGGTTAGAAGCCCATTGGTATTTTATTTTCATGTTAAGTTCAAAAGAGATTAGCAGGTTACATTTTAGTCCTTTTAAATATAGCGTGTCATGTCGGATCGAAATATTTAACATGTTGAAGGAGTTAGAGAGTGGGAAGCCAAATTCATAGCAAGTTTAGAAAAGAATACGGATGAAAGAGGAGTGGTGAGTTCATGATGAGGAGAGTGCGGCCGAATGAGTCAGCCCAATTTATCTAAAAACAGAAATTTTGAATATAAATATAACGGCCATTTTATCGCTAATCAAATTATTAGAATATAATAATAATAATATGTTACTTTTAAAAACCAAAAAACCCTATCATTTCAATTATTGGTTTAGCTTTTCGCCCTCCAACTAATTAAACTTAAAAATGAACACAAATAGACTACAAGTATAATAATTAGTATAAAAATATATGGTAATTTATATCAAAAAAATGCTAATTCATAACTAACCGTGTCTTGATGAATATTTTTGGAACTGAAGACATATATCGCAGATCTTATTGACCACCGTGGCTCGAATTATCTGGGGATTGTGGCTCGTAATTATTTGAGCACTCAAGGTTCACCCCAAACAATCGCAATCGTCTTGTTGCTATCATGCCTGTTTGGCAATTAACCACATTAATTTTCATACACATATTCATATTCATATACATTTTTTTTATTATTATTTTTATTTATTTATTTATTTATTTTAATATTAATGATGACAGAAATTAATTACTTATGATATGTTTTTGTCATTTATTTGGAGGGATTATTGTATTGCTTCTTAGCCCCAGAAATATGTAGCTAGAAATGAGCCATTAGGTGTTATGCGACAAAAAATTAAGCGAGTCACGCTGAAGAGTTCTTCCGTGTTTTTGTCTAAGGCTGCATGGTACCACATAAATATTTTTGTTTTTTTAACACGAACATGATACAACACAATAACATGTTTTTGTCCGTTAGAACGAACATAACTCAATAAAATCACGACAAACACAAATATAACAAAAAATAACCATTTGCAAAATGTCATACATAAGTTCTAGTAAAAAAGAAAATTTAAACACGACAAAAAGTAAATTAAAACAACATAGAATGATACTAAACATATACAATTTTTGAACGCAAACATGAAGTTTCTTGTTGTTATCATGTTGATTTTGGATTCGGACATGACACGAGGAACAATATGTAATAACATCGTATTTTAATCATAGATAAATACGAATTCAAAATTCGATTTTATCTCAATTTAGTTACCTGTATATATATATATATATATATATATATATATATATATATATATATATATATATATATATATATATATATATATATAAAATTGAAATTCCAAAAACATAATCACCTGCATGAAGACAGTCGGGTTGGTATCGTAGAGGAATAGATATAGGCGGATGGTGTGAAGGATAATGAGACTGCGCATGATGTAACACCGCCATGTTGCTCCACTGATTAATCTGAGCACCGCCATTAACCGGCTGAGCCACCGCCGCCACCATTCTATAAACATCCTTTGACAATCCAATCTATGTCGCTCGAACAAAACGATGTCGCCGGCATCCAAGTGATTCTCGTTGACGTACCCGTTCCAACCTTTGGTCAACACGTAGCTTTGACTACTTTTCCAGTACGAGTACTGGAACCGCCATAGCTTCCCAGACTCGTCCTCAAAACTCAGTACCAAACCTTTCCGTTGGTTGGTGGCGTCACCACCACCTCCGAACGGGAAGTATTTCTCGGCATGGTGTTTGGGAATGACAAGACGGTTGAGTTTTCCGACATCACTTAGAGTTAGGGTTTTTTGAAACATGTGTTCTTTAGCGATGGTGGTAGTGATATCGGTGTTAATGAAAACTTGTTCCAGTTCATGTCTATCGTTGTGAGGGTTGAAGTTTATATCACCTAATGCGGAAGACGGCAGTTGAGGGTGGTGGGTGTAAAATATGGGGTTGTTTTGAGTTTCCATGAGTGATTCAGGTAGAGTGGAAGAGAAGAGATCGAGGGACATTTTGTAGCATGGGAAATGAAGAGAAAAAGAGAAATTATGTATATTAAAGTGGACAGTGTGTAGGTCTAAGCATGTGTGTGAGAGAGTACGTGTCTCAACAAAGACAAACTATCATAGCTAATTAGAGGTGCTCCTAGAATCCAACTCAAACTTAATTTTTAGTTAGATTATAGGGTGTTTGACTTGTTTTTTAGAGGTAAAATTTTTTTTTGGAAAAGTTACAAAAAGTTCGATTTTTTTAATTTTTTCAAAAAATCATTTTTCCTTCTATCTAAAATCCAAAAATCACTTTTAAAATCTTTTTACCAAACATCTTTTGAGCTTTATCTTTTTCAAAAAAGATTTTTACCTTTCAAAAAGACAAGCCAAACACCCCCTATAGAAAAGCACGTTGGAACTTATAAGTCATAAGAGCTCGACTTTAGTTCTCACACAACTTTTGGAACATTAAGTAATGCAATAGTGCTAATATATAGTAGTGAAAGTTTATTGAGTTGTCGAGTTGAACAGTAGTTGATGATAATTTACGCTTCTAGAAACACAGGAAATACGGATGGCGTAATCCGTCCATATTTCATCGGTGATAGCTATTACCGACACAAAATAAGACGTTAGGTTTTAGGTCGTGGTAATATTTACCGATAGATTAGCGTTTCCGACGGCTTCTAAAGCGGTTATTGAAAGATCATGCACGGTTTTTGTAACAGTCCGGAATTTCCAGGTATTTATTATTGGTGCATTTTTTTGAGAATTGTGAGTGAACTCGGCGAGTTGGAGCTCGAACTCGTCGGGTTGGATTGCGATTTTGGACGCGGGTTCGCGTCTGGACTCGGCGAGTCCAAGAGTGGACTCGGCGAGTCCACGCTGTGTAATGAAACCCTAATTCCCAGGGTTTGAGACCTATTTAAAGGGCCATATGACCGTCATTTGTGCTCACCAGTCCATAAAGAGAAACCCTAGAGTGCTTGAACGTTTTGAGAGAGAAAGGAAGCCATTCTTGACCATTGTGTGTTGTTTAGCAAAGAAGAAGGAGGTCCTAGCCAAGAGGAAGCAAAGGAGGTTGCTATACTGTGGATTTGAAGCTTAGATCATCGAACTTGAGGTATTATTTCGGCTCATCTTCTGTTTTATGAAGTATAATTGGATTTAGGGTTTCTTGTGGCCTTTGTTGGGTTGATTTGATGGCCAAATAGTCCGTTGCTAGTGATGAGGCTTTGGATCTGGATCCATAGAAGTCCACAGAGCCTCATTCGTCAAGCTTTATGAAGAACAATGGAGGTTATGACCTTGAGTTGTGGTACTTGTGGCTAAATCATCATATATGGTCATATAAAGGTTGTATGTACATCAAGATAGCGACTTTACGTGATAAATAAGCTTGGAAGGACTGGATCTATGAGTTAGTGGAACAGATCTGACCTTAGGAGTGAGTTTGAGTCATTGCATGGCATGGACTCGCCGAGTCCGAAGAACAGACTCGGCGAGTAGCATGAAGATTGCCCAGCACCACTCAGCGAGTGGTCTTGCCGAGTTGAGGGATTGACTTAGTGAGTCAGGGAGAGTCAGAGTGGGTTGACAGGTGGACTGAGTCAAGCTGGGACTCGCCGAGTTGTTCTTGAGACTCGGCGAGTTGAGTCGTGGAGGCCCCACAACTGATGCCAGGTGGAACTCGTCGAGTTAGGAGAATAACCTACACTGATTTCAGGGAAATCAGTGTATGCGCTTAGACTCGCCGAGTTGTTATAGTGCACTCGTCGAGTCCGGTCAAAGTTGACCATTGACCATTGACCAGTGTTGACCTATGTTGACTTGTTTAGGGATAGTCAACCTTAGTTGGGAAAGTGTTAATTAGAGATGTATTGTGTTATAAGAGGACTATAGCTCAGGAGATCGAGCACTAGTGATTTTAGGGATTTACGAATTACCGAGACACGCGAGGTGAGTCTTCTCACTATACTTTACCTTGAGTAGGTAAATAGAGTTATGTGATACAGTGCTTGTATGCTATATTTATATGTTATGTGTTGTGCTGCATTATTCTTTGTGATTTATGCTGTGCATGTTTACAGAGATAGAACCTGAGGGTTCACAGAGTTTGGGTGCACGGACCCACAGAGTTATAGTCTCGAGTGGCTAATATGTGTTATATGTGGTATTTTGGGGAACTCACTAAGCTTTGTGCTTACAGTGTTTGGTGTTATTTGTTTCAGGTACTAGTGACGACCGCGGGAAGGCGCCGGCTTGATCCGTACACACGCATGAGATTTATGATTTTTAAGATCTTGGAATTTTTGTATTAATTGGATTGAATGTTCAAAATGGTTGTTTTATGAATATTAAGTGAATTATGTTTTCTAAAATTTGAAAAATTTGTTTTGAAATTTACGGTGTTACAAGTTGGTATCATAGTCTTGGTTTGAGGGATTCGGGTACACCTTCGGGAGTATTTGAACTCAAACTGAGGATTTGGAAAAATATTTTTAAAAGAGAACCAAATTTTTCTAAAAGTAAAAGATTTTTAGAGAAATTCAGAGAAGAAACGTGTGTACGATCAGTCAACGCCCGAATGGTGATTTCCCAAAATGCCCTTATATAATATGTTTATGAAAATTGGTATGATGTATTCTCTTGCTAGAGTAGGCTAGGTATTCCTATTAGGACTAGAGTGCCCTGATTTGTGATGCCTTAGCCTAGGGAGAAGTGAGCTGCTATGAGATGCTTGAGAGTGAATAGGTAGCAGCGAGGAGCTTATGAGAGATATGTTAGAGAGTGATAGAGTACTTGGAAATTGGGATCCGAAGAGGAGGATTTGGGGTGTATATTGAAACGGTGTGGACAGTAGTATTGGGCCCGTACTACTGAAAGCACCGGGGCAGTATACGGTCCAAGTAAGAATATTCGGAATGCTAAGGATCAAGGAGGGATGAGTTGTCGAGAGTGAGTATGCTCGAGCGGATTCTAATTTATCATATGTTGTATTTCAGAGGTTGATCATGGTGAGGACACGTCATATGCCAGAGGGCGTCGGGGCAAGTGATGAGGAGATCTGTCAGATCATTCACGAGGAGGTGGCTGCGGTCATCAGGGCAGAGATACGAGAGATGTTCGGGTCTATTAAGACCGTACTGATTGAGACTTTCGACGAGCGTTATGCTGCTCTTTCTGAGGCTGCTGTTGCGGCGGCCACCGCAGCTGTTGCTGCTGCGAGGCCACAGGGTGGTGATGCGTTGCTGTTCCGGGAGTTCAGCAACACGAAACCACCAGAGTTTGATGGGACCCAGGACCCGATGGCGGTTATGAGATGGATTTCTGACATATAGGGGTGTTTCTTCACTTGCTGATCTCCTAAGCATTTGAGAGTATGATTCGTGCTGAACCAGCTTTGCTTGGGAGCGAAGGACTGGTGGAAGTTTGTCACAGCACACTTTTCGCCTGCTAAGCTTGCGGCAGTGACCTGGGAGAGGTTCACTGCCATGTTCCGAGATGAGTACGTTCCCCAGGTGGAGAGGGAGCGTTTGGCCCAGGAGTTTCTGACCCTCAAGCAGGGCACTGAGTCTGTTACGGTGATTACCAGGATGTTTCACGAGAGGGTGATGTTCTGCCCTGAGCACGTGTCCACTGAGCAGGAACGTATGAGCCGGTATTTGAGTATCTTGAGGTGAGACATTCGTGAGTTCGTGGCGAACTCCTCATACCGGACATTTGCTGAGCTTCAGGTAAATGCCCGAAAGAGGGAGATCAAACTGGAGACTCAGGCTAGGGAGGAGGCTGAGTCTTAGGGGAGAGATCGGCAACCGACACAATTCCAGCCGACAGCCAAGCGGGCCAAGCCCGCTGATCCCAAATCAGAGAGCCAGAAGGGCCGCACTTGTGGAAAGTGTGGCAAGGGTCATGATGGAGTATGTAGAGCTGGATCTTGCTACAAATGTGGCAAGGAGGGGCATATGGCCAAGGACTGCCCCAAGGGGTTTGCAGTGTGTTTCCACTGCAACCAGACCGGACACCGGAAGGTGGAGTGTCCGCAATTGCGAGGATCAGCTTAGGGAGCACTTCAGGGATATATCTCTGCCGCCATCAGAGCTACTGAGAGTCGGCCAGTGAAGGCCGAGGCGTCGAGCGCACGTGGGAGAGCGTTTCAGTTGACCGCGGAGGAGGTCCGCGTAACACCCGATGTCGTGGCTGGTATGTATTCTTTCGTGTACTTATTGTAATGTTGAGATATTATGCTTATATTATGTTATGCGTAGGTACTTTTCTTGTGAATTCTGTACCTGCCTTGGTATTATTTGACTCGGGTGCGTGTCACACCCCAAAACCACGAACGGCGGAAACGTTCAGGGGTAGAGGACGTCATGTACAGTATCACAACAGTGTAATATAATAAACAAGCAACAACATCATCCATTGCATTATAAGTAAAGTTTTAATACATGTGTGTTTCTTTCATTGTAGTAAGACACCAAAAATATACAATCAAAATAAAAGACGAGACTTGTCTGCTCCGTCTTCTAAAAAACCTGGCCTCCGTACCTGTCTACTGATGACCTGAGAATACAAGTTATTTTGAAAGCGAGTATCAGCTTTAATGCTGGTGAATTCATAAGTATACAAGTGTCATTGCCTTGTTTGTGAAGATCTGTTATAAAGGCCATGTTAATCGTTAAATGAAAATGTTGCTGTACATATGAAAACCCTAGAAAAACCCTTATTTTCTATAAGTATGAAATGTAGTCTTCTACCAAGACCCAAATGTTTTGTAATGACTAGGTAGTCTTCTACCAAGACCCGAATGTTTTGTAAGAAATATGATAGCTTTTCCTTTCTATTGACTAGTACTAGAGTACTTAGTCTAACTCCTCATTTATGTGAAAGTATCACAAAATAAAGTAAATAGGAAAAGTATAATCATATAAGTGTTAATCCTGGGTGACCAGGATTACCACGGCATCGCCGAAGCGAATGGTATACCCGATGAACATCTGAAGATTGTCCACTCACCC